GTGTGTCGCGTGACTTTACACTTTTGACAAGCTAAGCACGACTGGGCCCACTCCTTAACGTCTTTGTTCATCCCAGGCCAGCAGAAACGTTGTGCGATAAGCCTAATGGTGGCTCGTACACCTGGATGAGAGAGTTTGTGCAACGTATTGAAGACGTTGCGTCGACAACTCTTCGGAACTATTGGGCGTGGTTGACTAGCAGAGACATCGCACAAAATTGCATCCTTGTCTGATCCAACAGGACAAAGTCGCAGTTTGAGAGTTGTGGACGACAACTCATGATGCAGCTCAAGGTCTTCCTTTTGACGCCGAGCTAGTTCAACGAGATCAATACCCTCGATATAGTTTATCGAAGCTATTCGAGATAGTGCGTCGGCTGCGGAGTTGTTTGCTCCAGAAATGTGGCGGATATCTGACGTGAACTGGGAAATGTAATCCAGCTGTCGCGACTCACGAGGGGAGTATTTGTAACTTAGTGAACTCAAGAAAAAATAAAATATTGTTTCTGATAGAAAAAAATGCATTTCAGTTATTAAGGTGACAAATATATTTTTTTTAAAACGTCTAGCTCCACATTCATTTTCACAGGGATGAATAACTAAACCTTCTACAAAAAACTTAAACATTGTAATTGCATTCATTGTTAAATAACCCAGGAAATGTCTTTGGACTAATACATTAGATTGACCCCAGTCAACAAATGATTCTTATTCATTTCAAATGATGATACTTTCATATATAATCTTAAAGTTAACTACCTAGTTTTGTTCTGCCCTTTTCACTCAGACTTCATACTGTCACTTATTTCAATATTATAGGAGTATAACTTATGCACTGTGATCGGTTGTTATTCCATTTTAGTCTGTTTAATAGAAATATCATACAGTGAAGTAGTATCATTTACTGGATACAACTGCTTCACTGTGTGATATTTCTAATAAACAGACTGAAATGGAATTGTTTCAATACTCTTGATAGTTCATACTGATTCTAAAAAGTCCAAGTAATAGTAGTGATTTTCAGCCTATGAAGAAGACAATAACTGTCGTTTTTGAAATTTTTGACCACTCAATTTGAAAATGTTATCAAAAAGTTAGGAGATTCTATTAAAAACACCTACTTCTTTGTTAAATACAAAAGCCCAGGAAATAATGAACAACTATCCGCCCAGTTCTTAGTTGAGTAGGAGTTCAGTAAGCAATTAGAAACTAATATCGTGATCTAACACCGAATGAAATGTTTTGTGCAATAGTATTGGTAATATATGCTTATACCATACATCCGTTTTCCTAAAATTTCTTGTTACATGCCAGGATACAATGAAAAAGACGATTTCCGCCCAGTTCACGTTCACCGGTTAGACCTGTTTACAAGATTATCAGTAATAAATTTAGCTAAAGTAATAGACCAAACGTGATATAAGCTAAAAAGTAGACAGAAAAAGCAAGATAGAAATCTGCACGAAAGTGTTCTGTTCAAGTTAGCCTTACTTCGAGACAGACAAATAAAAACCTTGAGTCAAACAAGGAGAGAAGAGGATAGCAACGGCAAAAATAACTTCAAGTGACTAAGAAGTCTGGAATTCCGGCATCCAATTTTCAGCCATTAACGCATAATATTTCAACAGTTCAGGCAGTGACCTCTTCCTCACAACACTCAGACTAGTAGTCGCCCACCCCATGTATACTTCATACTGAAGTTAGTGCTGACGATGTCGTCTAGCAAGGCGATGAAAGCTTCACGATTAAACAACCCAGCTCAGGGAACACAATACAGCCAAGATACGTGTTCCGTTTTGATCCGGTTGACCCTGAATTTCTTTCACATTTGACAAGAATGTTTCATGCAGGTGATTGCATTCATATTATATGTCCAAAGCCAGTAGATTGATTTAAGTGGCCTGACTACCACTGTATGTCGACCATATCATTAGCGAGTTGATCGTTTTACCATATGTTAACAGTGTTTTGAAAACGTTAATGGTAGGGAGTCTACACATCAGTCAAGTAGTGCATATTTATAGCGCCTAAGTTCTATAAACATGAAGTAAGATAGAATGGAATCCAATGTAGTGCACTAGCATTTTGGTAGGCCAATAGATATATATGACCACTTAGGTGTTTCAGAATGGTAAGTGAAATATAAGCTTTGCTCTGTCAGTGCTAAGATCCTTCCTACCCTTTAAGACTTATGCGAATTCCCAAATAATTTGAGCATCGAGTTCACTAAATTGCTTACTGTTACTTCAAGTAGGTTTTCATACAGAAATTTCGTGAACTACTATCTTCCACTTGATGAAGAAATTGAAGTGGAACAAGCATGAACAAGCAGAAAAATCAGCCATCATGGCAGCATTTAGTTTGATCACTCCAAATCTATCCAATCCTCTAGTACTGAGATGCCTATACGTTACTTTTTGGATTTGGCAGCACTGTCTGTAAATGGAAAATGTTTTCTTTCATCTTTCCTGCAAGATGTCAAGATACAAGATGTCTTGTGCATCTGAGCACTTGGAGAACCAACTCCATTCCAATGCAGAGTAAGCACTTCAACTCAGTAAACGGCTTTCATAAAGATGATAGGCCGTGACAAAAGTCTTTAGGAAATAAAAACAGTGGGGAATTCACAAATGAGGGGCACGATTACTGATCTCTACATGGGCACAACTAAAATGATGCTGGATAAGTCTGAATAGATCACCGGACCAAAAACATAGAGATCACTGGTTCGAATCCTGCCACTGCCCACATTTTCATTTGACTCTTCAATCATCACCAAGTATCAATATAAGTCTACCAGACTACGGCTGTTTCAAGTAGTAAAATTGAAAAGTTGAAACTCATGACATATTCAGCTGTTCACAAATGATGTGAGATGATAAGCTAAACTGTTTTCAAAACGCTTACTTCTTAAACAGCTACACAGCTATGCAATAATCGGACGATCATTAATAATTGTATTCGACGAAACTGTCCTTAAAGTTTTTTGAGAAACCCTGAAATCTGTTGTCAGCAAGAGATTGACTGTAGCGACAGGTATCTAACATTCACAACCACTTTAGGTTGTGTATCAACTAGGTCATAGATATTTATAATCAAATAACAATCCAGTAGTTAAGAGACGAAGGTCGTGCCAAGAAAATTTATTTAGACACGCTCGCTAGCGTCCAGAAATGGCCGTATTTCTTGATTTTAAAGTTGCATTTGACCTCACCACATCAGTTAAGATAATGCTGATAACAGAATAGCCTACAGAAGCGTTCTCACTAAATAATAAAAAAGTTCGTTATTTTTGTCGGATTTTACTGAAATATTTGAGTAATGTTCACACAAAACAGTTCTATATGCGACCAATTTTTATTTTAGCCGGTGTAAACCAGCAGCTGCGAATGTTTTTGCCTACCGTTATACATACGGACTACGCAAATTGCCTTAAAATGCTATAAAATGTCACTCCTGAAACTGGTTAAAACTGCTACTGTTCACGAATCAAAAAACCTGAAATAATGCTTTCCCCACTGAGATAGCAATAACCAAAGCTCAAATGTTTTTAAGTAAATAGAAAATATGAATGTTAGCTTGTCCGTTAAAAATGAACAGCGACAAAAACACTTAAGATTCAAAGGGTCATACGTATTGCAACCACCAGTAAAATTGAGTAGCTTAATGAATGTATGACGAGACGTTAAGGAGTTGTCATATCTGTCAATACAGAATTTCATGGTTTTTCGAAGGGAACCTAATCGTACAAATCAACCACCATATTAGTTTATAAATCCACTCCTAAAACTAGAAAATTCAGTCCATTGGGGAAGTTTTCTGATCATAAACAGTACATTCAATTAGTTATCTGTGCAATTATTTGAGCTTCACAGAAGTCCAACAAAGAGGATCGAACATACTTCTTTTGCAAAAAGGGATTAGGTTTGTGAGAATTTAGCGACTTATCAAGTTGGTATTCATCATGGACTGACTTCAACTAAGGGAACATTGGAAGCCTTCCAGTATCATGATGAGTACTGCTGCAAAGTCCCACACTAGGACGAAACCACTTTCTAGTGCTCCCAGGTTTCTAATGTTCCTCCAACTGATGTCGGTTCATGATGAATACCAGCGTGAGAAAGAACTGAGTATTGTGAGCATTATGCAGCCATTAATCTCTCAGATGAAAATTTAAGTCACTTCAGTCATAACGTTTTGCGCTTGTTTTGCTGTTATTAGCTATCCGAGCAGTGAATTGAACGGAACACAGAAAACTTAAAACACTTGAAAACTCCTGGCAAACGTTGATGCATAAGGTATGTAATTCCAGAAACAAAGTAATAAACAGACATTACAAAGTTACAAAGATTACGCACAAGAAACCATTGATAGCCACTTCCTCAGAAGGGGATTATAATACCAAATACTCAGCTACTTGGAGGGTTTTGAAGAAGATCTTGACAGTCGATTTCATGTTAGTCTACAATGTCTAACATGGTATATCTAGACGTTCAATACAATAAATCTATTTTTTACTCTGTAAGGAGCTTAAAACGTAGCTATTCCTGCCTAACTTTCAAACCTTCCTGACAGAATATTCCTAGATATTTCTGACTGCACAACTGAATAAAAATAAGTGTTTTGTACATCTACTGAATCTGTGAATCTATACATTCTGCTTTTTTATTCTCGTTCAAGTTCCCGTTATCGAATAAAAAGGCAACTCCTGACAATCTAGGCAAAAAAATGCACATAACCGGGGCATAACAACTTGCAAACAAAAAAAATTGCTAACTTAAACGAGTCGAGACTTGTCTGTAATATATGAATTAGTTTACTGATGACTTGTTACGGAATGTGGTGGTACAGTTATAATTAAGCTGAGGTTTGTTGTCCTAATGTATGAACTACCAGGATCAAAATCAAAAAAATATTCCTCATTTATTACAGTGAAGAAAATCAAAACTGTACAAAACTGCTGTAGCAATAATAACTTAGTGATTTAACAAAATCACTCACCGGTCTCTAATGAAAAAATCACAGTTATCAGAGTGAAGACTAGTACGAGGATCTTCTTCGAGTTCGGAGAAACTATTCACTGGAATGCTTGTAACTAATGCACGCATAATCTGTAAGTGATCAAATGTGAACTGAATTTTACTTATAAACAATGAAGTAGACAAAGAGACTTACTGCACAAAATGGTGTAAAATACTCAACTCCATTTCTGAAAAGCTTAGGTCGGCGTTTTCTGTCGAGATCATGATAAAGTTTTTTTAGTTCAAAAGACCTTTTAGGAGTACAGTCATATGATTCATCTATGAAGCATGATAATTTATATGCGTTTCTCATCTTAAAATAACTTAGTACGCGTTTCCTGAGAGTGTTTTAGCTTAAGATCAGAAGCAGTAAAACCATGTTCATTCTTTAAATGTTCTTTTGCGCCGGAATCAATGAGCTTTTGCATAACATCCATACGTTCTCGATAAGCAGCTGCATGTAGGGGTGTATTTCCCTCCATAGTGTACCTAAATCACCAACAGTTGTTTATGTTTGGGGCCTGAAAGATGATGTTACTTACAAGTTCGGATCAGCACCTTTACTTAGCAGTAAGTCGACTATATCCAGGTCTCCATAATAAGATGCAACATACAAAGCAGTTTCACCATATCGATTAAAATTGTTCACGTCATATCCTAGTTTGCAACATAATGTGTCAAGATGTAGTTACCATTATTTAGAAATTTATTTAGTGAGTCAATGTCTCTAGTGAGAACTAGTGTTTGTAATCTTCCACCTCCACGACAGAGGACTACATCCATAATCTACGCGATATCAAATAACTAATTTGAATACGTCTCTATTTAAGGACAAGGTACAAAGTACAATGTTCAGATGGTACAAATGGTTGTTGATGGAATAAAAGCTTTCGCTTAGCTGGCCTCTGCGTCTACAATCCGTGGATCACTACTCCCAGTGGTTGTTCACCTGTTGTACAAGTAAAGAAAAATGAAAAAGTGTCGATTAAAATGTGAAAATTCACTTAGTTCTGGGCAGATCCCAGACACATCAAGTCAGTATCCAGTCGGCGTTTGGAAGATTCAGACCAAGTAGCCTGGATCAAATCTTCAGGAAGAGCGTTCTAGGGTTAAACAACTCTTAGGGAATGGAAGTTGTGCCTGACATCTAGCCTGCTATGTTCACTACTTGAAGGAAAAATTTCTTATTGTATGATAAAAAGATTAGTCCTTAGGCTTCAAGCTTAAGGCCTTCCCAACAATATATGTGGAAAGAAGGTTTTAATTACGTTGGCAGTGACAGGCGGAAAAAAATGTTGTCTATATTTGATTATTTTTTGACATGCACGAAATTTTCGGCCTCTGAAAAATAACAGAATTCGTAGGTGAAGTCCCTCTGAACTCCCTGACTCTTGGCTGAAGCTTTTTCTTTCTCATAGAAAATTAGGTTAGGAAGCTACAATCACCTCTTAGGGAAACTCATTGCATACTTCACTGATAGTAAATGCAGGTGAAGAGCCACTGGACTAATTCAGTTCTCTTCCCTCTTCTACTTTTACAGATGCATTTCTGAAAAGTGCTTCTGGTCTGCATTTAATCAACAAACTGCAAATTAAAACCGTTTTGAAGTTCGTTAGACATTACATGTATGGCTTCCTATTTGTCCATCGTTGCACCCCAATATGCTGTTTTGTATTTTGATTCCACTACCATCCCAATTTCCTAGTTCGTTTGACACCTCGTCTCGCTACGAGCCTTATTCACTTGTGTGCGTTTACCCTTTAACACTCGTGATTTTGGTTATTCTTTCCGTTGCAGTAGTTACCTCCCAATTTTGGTTGTAAACCGTTCGCTGTTTATTCGGCCGGATCTTTTGGGCCTTCCTTGTAATATATTCGGTTATTTTCTCCATGGAAGAGCCACTGCTAGGTTAGCAGCTATCAATCCTCCACCCATATTTCTTGTCGACGGTACCAATTAGACAATAAACTCTTATAAATGCGCTAGACTTTACGGGTTCGCACGTCACTTCGGCAACCGGTAGTTCAGTTTTAAATGGTAGTTCTTGTTGGTTTCAGGTTAAAGTTCAGTTACGTTCTGGTGGCCAACTTCTGCTTTTCTAGTTTCGTAGAAAGCCTAAGTGAGAGACAAACGTGTAACATAGCTGCATGAAATGGAACGAAGGAATACACGCTTTCTATCCATTAATAATCCCGTAGTTACGCAAAGGACATGTTCTCCATGTAATCACTGCGTGACGACTATCTTGATACTTCACCCAAAATTTATGGCCTAGCTTGGCATTAAGTCCAGAGAGGTTGGCATTAATTGCCGTTTGTAAATGCGAATTCTTCGAATTCTGACGAAGACTCATCCCTTCTTGAGGCAAACCGAAATTGACCGCATATGAAGTGCGGGATTTGAAGGTATACCGAAGGGTTCGACAATGAAAAATGACATATCATCGACCGTATTATGACAAAAGTTGCCTGGGTGTTGCATTTTTGGCTTAATTTGTTCAAATGGCTCCTTCTTCAGTGACATATGCCCGAACATGTTGCACGATACCACACAATACTGGATCTAAAATCTCCCTCCATCTACCCGGCATGTAAATCTGGTTCCCAATAGCACCTGCAGGTAGCAAAACTTACTGAATGTTCGAACATTTTCACCTTCATTCATTCTCAGCATGTAATGTGTTCTGCGCTCTAACTGACTATGCCCCAATATCACCAGGATACTGCCCATACTGAAGTATGATACTGGTATTACTTCTCTTCGCTGTTGCGTAGAAAGGTGCCTTTTGCCTAACATTTATGACCGGTTGTACCAAACAGTTGCACGCTCCATAAGACCGAATAACGTTACACACTTCTCCAGAATTAACAGTTTTGGGGTTCAACGAGATTCAGCATTGATGCCGACCTTCGTAGTTTTACCGAACTTGCTAGGCCGTGGGCACACGGTCAAGCATCCACGGCATTTGGCAGGCCGACTTGTTACGTTGTACTGCTCGTAATCAACCCTCTGGCCAGTTTGTTGGAGGGCATCGGTATCCCGGCGCGACCTCACAAATACACTACTTCCATCCGATTACGTTATTACGTTCTTCCTCGGTCCCGCACTCGTAGGTATATAACAATTAGGAATAATTAGTGGCCAACCTCTGTATTTGTCAAGTTCGTACCAGGACAACTCCTAAATACGTACACAGCACGATCTTCGTTGTTTTTAAATCCTCTCAGCTTCACCGGGAACAATAAAAATTCAGATGTTGACTGCAAAAATGCTATGTGGTTGTATAAGTCATTATTATAAATAAATTAATGTTTTGTTCTAACGTTAAAAAAAGTTATTCTAAATGACACTACCATTATTATAACTACGCGGAGTTAATTAGGTTTGTGACCATTGTCGTAACTTCGGCTAGTCGTGACCGCCTGAAGCATGTGACCGTGCTGATTCACTTTTAACACTGATCTTGCCCACCATTAATCTCACACGTACTTCCTCCGTCTTGCACCTTTGGTGCACAGGCAATATGAGTCACCCAGTTCGACCTCCCTAGCTGACCACTACAGATCACAAAGTGTGGTGCTTATTATCCGTACGTTTTGGGCGGCATGACTTTTCTGTAAATATGCCACTTATTTTCGTGACCACATCTCATAAAAATGAAACAGCCGATTTTACTGAAAGAAAATTCAACTTTATACAGTGAGCGATAATGATAACAATAAGGATAATGTATTTCGAATAATGCTGATAACAATCACAACACAACTGTCAACGAACCATAAGTCAAGCAGAAATGAGTGAAAAGTTGATCGGGAGCTCTTAATCAGAGCTACGCAACGATGTCTGGAAACAAGTCGTAAGTAAGACGGCCTATAAAATAAATAAAATAATGCCACCGATGATACTTACCTGGGATCTATGGTTTCCGCCTTCTAGCTGGCGCAACAAGAATAATGCTCGATGTATGAAAATACTGTGTGTAGACCTTAACCGCAGGTAGCCACTACCTCTAAGTTTACACTCAGACGAATAAGGAAGCATGCCTGCAACATCGAAGGTGCACAACCGAGCCTCATATCCCAAGAAACAACCGCTAGTAGACTCTTAGTTTAATTTACTAGCACTGATAATTTTGCTAGATGATTGGCGAACTACACATGAATTGGGATCCGTGGTGTGAAGCTGAAAAGAATGTTCGCCATTCAGAATCTCGTCTTGTATATCTTTTAAGAAGCATGTTGGATGTATACGCTGTGCAACTTTCGTTTCACATGCCCATCATTTTTGGGGAGCCAAACTGTCGTACCTTAGTAGAGATGTCGCAAACATATGTGAAAGGTGAGTTACCTTCAGAACCATGCGTGAAACTAAAAACAAAGCTTGGGTGATACAAATAATCAACACAAAGGTCAAAATATTCACACTGTTAGTAGTTTGTATGATTACTTTTCCCACTTCTGTGCTAATCATAATCTAAGTTGCATTTTAAATCAAGTCACTGCTTAAAAAACTTACATTCAGAGTCTTGGAGAGCGACTTACACCACACAGTCCTGATATGTTATAATAAAAGTGATACTGACAATAACTTTTGTCCGTGAATTTACAAGTGCATACCAGTTTTGCAGAACGACTAGTACACTTGGTGGGGAAAAATCTTTGCGACGCCGTTTACCATCCGTTTTCCATCCCGGGCAAGAGAAACCCCGGAATGGAAAAAAGAGGATTCAACGTCAAGTACAAATAGTGCGCTTTAAGTTACATGTTGACTTTTTGTAGCGCTCTAACTATGTTTTCCGGCGGAAATAGAAATCGTGTTTAATGAGCGAGTAAATGCATCGTGCAACGAAGAAGGGTAGCAATTCAGCAATTTTACTCCCAAAAAAGTAATGCTGGCCTAGTAACACGGGTGTTTTTTTGCCAGAAAGATTGCGAGAGGAGTACCGCGGCAGGTCCTATGTATTATCGAAAAGACTCGCATCTTCAGGTTCATTGAAACGTTAAAGCACACTGCGCAACAAGGAATCATACTGATGATAATATAACACCTCTCTGATTAATCAGTCTACTTAATTTGCTCGTGCTAAACTGAAAATGTATCCGTCGTAGCCACTATAATGTTCTGTGTCGTAATCCGCAGCTTGGTGAACAGAGGTTAAGTTCCCCTGATTTCGGGCCAACTCAAAGATTCCGCATCTGTCGACAGGTTGTTGGTATACTCCCGTTCATTGTACGCTGTTTACAGCCTCAGAGGACGAAACGGCGCCAGTCGACCAGTCGGGAGTAAACTATTGCAGCAAATCCGTGATTGTTTGTTGCACCTGATGAATGAGCGTTAAAAGGTCTCGCGAAAGGATCGTCTTATGATGTTATAAGGACGCTAATCACGGGTTGCTCGATCTCAGTGGGTTGTTTTGAGGCCAAGACTGTGATATTTAGAAAACGTACTGATGAAATAATGCGACTCCAACCTACTTGCAGACTTCCAAAGTTCTATTTACGACAAGAATATAGAGAACAGCGAGCGGGAATTGGGGATAAAAGGAAGCTGTTTACATGGATATCCTCAATACCTGCTTGTAGTGTCATGTCTACAGATGTGTGTACAGCCTGAGCTTTCGTGTGCATGTTATTTTTTTAAGAATTTGGTACTGATTGCATTTTTGTAATGCTATTTTGAGAGCGCACGCCTTAAGAATTCTCCGTTAGTGATGACAATGAGTAGGAGGTATAGCTGAGTTACTTAATTGTCGAAGTAGTTCAAATTGTTGTAATCTTATCCATGGGGCATAGT